TAGATCTTGAGCTCCACTATCCCTTCATGTATATCTTTTCATTGTATCGCTTTGAACTGTATTCATGATGTTTATTATTTCACATTATCATTGGCACTACATTATTTAGACTTCTTTCGTATTTGTTTTTTTTTTCGAATTTCATCTTATTATGCCAATGTGTGAAATAACAACTTTTGCTAAAGGCTCATTTGTACCAGGTTCTGCATTGATTGTGACTAACATATTGTCAACCTTTTCAAAGGTGTCGAGTTTACAAGGATAACTTCTCCTGGGAAACACTTCACAATCAATCCATAAACACTGATCAATACGATTAGGTTGTTGTTAAGTTTCTTTTTTGTATAAATTGAAAAAATTCAGACATAACCAGTCCATACACCATCGCTCTTTAATAAAGTTTTATTCAATTACACTTTAAATGTTTGTAGTTACAGGTGTAAACAGAATAAGTTATTTAAAGACAAAATGAATTACTACTCACTGTATTGTTATCGAATTTTAACAACTTTCTAAGTGATTCTAACGCAACAATTGCTGTATGGGAAAGATACTTAATAATTGAAAAAACATTTAAGGGAAACTAACAGGTTTTGATGTCAGTCCTAAACTCTGTTTTGATATCCAATTACTAAGTGGAATTATATATATATCATTACTACTAAACATGTGGTCAGTCAATATATGTGCTTTGTCTTTTGCTTTTTAGGAATCATTCGATTACGTAATAGATCAAAATACTTTATCCGCTGCAACAGAAGCATTAAGTCATTTCTTAGAAGGTTATTGGGCAGCAACACATCCTCCTTTAATAGTTAGTAAAGCTGAACGTCTTCTTGGCTCATTTTCTGCTCCAGTGCCTGAAACGAAAGAAGTTGACTCAGATCGCCCACTTGTGCCTATGACACCTGGTCATCCAGGGTTGAGTGTAGTTACCAAAGTAAGAAATAGGGATTTGATTTTGAAGAAACCATATTTTTTACTAATAAGAATACTTCCAATTACTGAACTTTTACATTTGTAAGTTTTATATTTTTAGTGTTAAAACTTAGGTTTCCTAGGCAATTGCAGTTGAAGTTAAACTTGTACACCATCGGATGCAAGCCCAGTGGTCTAGAGGTTAAGCATTTGAGACAGGAAATCCTGGGATCAATTCCTGTATAGTAAGGAGTTTTATACAAGGACCAAACGGCCGTTTAATGCCTCCAAATTCCCAAAGGTTATTTAACATAGATTGTTTCGTGATTTCAGTGCAATTTCGGTAGATTATATTTATTGATAGCATTTCAAAAATATAGCTTTAAGGATTAATCACTGAGTTGTGGTCAAACTCATGTTTGTCTGGTTCTTAGTGCATGATGTTGGTCTGTGGTTTATGACATGTTAAGTTAGAAACGGAACATGGAATTTGTTTGTTGTAAACTTTTAAAATTTCCAACCTAGAAACACTCTAGGAAGTATAACCATAATTTTTTCTATCTCAGTTGGAATAGTTCACTGATAAGATTTGAACATGCAGTACGTAACAACTTGGATTCAAATTCCTGAGAGATTATAAGTTTCGGAATAAGTTCTAATTTAAAGACTTATGGTCAATAGTTCATTGTTTAATGCAAAATCACAGTGACTCGGTAATATATGGAAATCATACACCAAATGGCTTATTTACACAGCTTCTTTGTGTTGTTCTTCATAGACTCAACTATTCCTTTGATTCTGTTGTTATTTTAATTTCTCTCCGATTTCCTTCCTGTTCTGTTCATTTCAATCTTCTGCAGTCAAGCACATTCACTTCAGATTGATGCTACTTACTACTCATCTCTGTTAGCATAAGTAGCAGATACCGCGATAATACAGTTCACGTCGATATACAATCATTTGATCTAATGTTTATGTTTTATAAAATAATCTAAATTTGTGAATAGAAACAATCAGCATGAAAGATTAATTGATTGGATTCAATCTACATCAGGAACTGAAAGAAGTTAAACTAATTACTTTAACCTAATGACTAGTTAATGTATTTGGTATACAATTACCTGTTATTATACGTTAACAACGAATTAATCAAAATTAAAATATTTCCCCTATTTTTTTTCACTTTAGTCTGCATTAAGTGCAGGATTTACTAGTCAAGAAATTAGTGAATTAACCGGAGCAAGAGCAACTGGTTGGTTAACAGAAAATGGTGGACAAGTGGAAAATGAACTTGGACTTACTGGTGTACATCATGCTGGTAGCGTTGGTAGTGAATTTCATAATACACATTTTGGTGGAAGAAAACTTAAGATTGATCATAATAATAGTCCTGATGGCCTTAACACAGGACATTTTTCAGATGATGAAAATGAAGGTTCACGTTCAAATTATCCTCGTACTGGTCGATTACATGTGGGTGCTGCAAGTGCAGCAGCAATCGCTGCTGTCGCCGCTGGACTTACACCTAAAGTTCACTCGTTACATCCATCATTATTTCACGGTGAAAATAAACGAAATGGTTCAGTAATTCGGGATATAAATGGCAATACTACACATGAAGCACCTGGTCTAACTATGGGTTTAGGATTGGGCATAGCGAATGGGGTTGCAGCCACTATCAGTGCTGCTCTATTCCCGAGTCATAATAATACTAGTCACCATCAGCATCATTCAGCAGAGACTCATCATCAACCAACATCAAGAATACCACCTCCAACAATTGCTGCCGCAGCTGTAGCTTCTGTAGTTTCGCCACCATTAAAAGACTTAGGTATTCATCAAGTGGAAGGAAGTGATGGAACACAAGGTAAGCAAAATTATTCTTAATTCTTTCTGGGTATATATATATATATATATATATATATATATATATATATATATATATTCGTAGATAGTACTTTCATTCATTTTCATATGTATTTATTCTTTATTTAGTCTATCAAAGTAGATCAGCCCGTCAAGCAAAACAACGTGAAGAACAATTAGCACGAGTAAAACAAGAAGTTGAAGCTAAAGCTTTAGCATTACAAGCTACAGCAGGTGGTCGACGAAAACGTCGAGATAAAGAAAGAAGACAAAGAAATCTTGATGGTTATTGGGATTCACATGATGAACGTTATCATACTCATGGAACAAATGATTTATCACAACATTCCCATCAATGGAATGGACCACCCGTCCGATCTATGGCAAGAGCATGTCCACCTGATGATTGATTAATTGATTAGTTATATACTTATTTCAATAAACTAACAACTTCAATGACTGATTCCTGTCTCTTTCTTTTTTGGTGGTAACTTTTTTATTTTACACATTGCTCATGAATGCTTTCACATTCATTTTTATTTTTTTGTTTGTTTCTCATTTACAAGAAATGTATCGGTATACAATTTAAATCAAAAGACAGTCAGTAACAACGCAGAACTTCGTACGTATGTACATCAATCCGAGTTTCCATACTACATTAGCACAAAGATGCAATTGTCGTTTCAAATTCCATAGTGCTAGATGTAGTAAAATTATAAGCTGTAATCAGAAAAATTAGGGTTTGAAGATGTTATTCAAGGAGTAGAATCCAGTGAAATAAATTTGGAAAGAGAAAAAAGAAAGGGATATGAAGAATTCAGAAGATTGGAATTTGGGAGAACACAAAGAGTGTATGCACCTGCGCCATTGCAAACGATTTTGAGCCATGTCATTCAGGGTCTCTAACCATCTGTTGCTATCATCTCGCGGTCCCCAACCAGGTTGTCTACACGTACCAATATGACTCAGTCTACTTGTCAGTGACTTCATGGACTTGTGCCATGTTTTGGTCTGACCGCCCCTAGCTTTCTTCCAACCTACTCCTATACCATAAAACATAGCACGTCGAGGTAGTCGGTGGTTGGGCATACGTAACACGTGTCCCAGCCATCTCAACTGATGAAGTTTCATTACTTCATCAATTGATTTGCCATCCTTACCTAGTACCCGTTTCTTAACAACTGCATTACTTACTCGATGGTCCCAGGATATACGAGCGATGTTTCGAAGACACCTATGATCGAATACTAGTAACCTACGAATATCCTCTACTCTTACCGGCCATGTTTCACTGCCATAAAGTAGGACGAAACGAACTGCTGCTCAGTAAACACGTCCTTTGGTTGATAGACGGATATCTCGCCTACTCCATAAATGACGCAAGTTGGCAAAAGCTAGTCGAGCCTTCTGTATCCGTGCTGAAATTTCGTCACACACCAGACCACCAGGGCTGATGAGATTTAAATCAAAAAAGGTCTAGTGACTCTGCAACTATATTTAAAATATGTATTCACAATAAACATACAGAATAAGTAGATGAATAAAAACAATGATAAATAGAAATTAATGAAAATAAAATTATCAAAAAGAAAAGAAATGACTTTAAAAAGATTATTGCACCTTTTTTGTCACATAAAACCAACTTCCCTTATAGATTTGAACAAAGGCAAAGCAAAAAAACAAGCGAAATAGGGTAAAATTAATTTATTTTACAGTTTATTTTCGACGGCATACAGTCATAATTTTATGACGTAATAGATATTGATGATTGAAATAATAGAAGAACAATGATTGCCAATATTACATATATATATATATAAGTAGAGATGAATGGTGGATAAGAGTGAAATTTTAGGGACATGCCTTTCATCCTGTTTTAAACTCATCAGTTGGATGTGCTTGCACCCTAGAGTTGATATTTACTCAAGGCCTCGAACCTAGTACCATTCGCTTCGAATTTCATTGAATTATTCATTTAGCTACAGATGTATATCCATCTGATAAGACACAAATAGGACGAAACGAGCGTCTTTAGGATTTTGTTGTTAACCACTATTCATCTCTGTACATATATATATATATATATATATATATATATATATATATATATATATATATATATATATATATATATATATATATATATATATATATATATATATATATATATATATATATATATATATATATATATATATATATATGAATAAGCAAATGTGAGTTCATTTGGAAATAAATATCGAAAACATGTAAATGATTAATGATTGTATGATTCAAATAGGGTTGTAAAGAGCTGAATAAAAAGTATAAAAGAAAAGAGAATTTATATTATCCTGTTCCAATTACTGTAGTTGTTCTAGTTTTATTCTTGCATTTGTAATGCATTTAAACCTCCGTCTTATCTCTTTTTTTTTCAAAGAAAATGTATGATGAAATATAAATATTCAAGTAATCTGTATAATGAACTCATCTAGGAATTGAATTGGTAGGTAGTATAATGATGATGATGATGATGATGATGATGATGATGACTTACACAAATTGTTCATTCTATTTATAAGGTAAAGTACAATACAGTAATCATTATCGATATTAGAACATTTCAACTAAAATTTAGGTATCTGTTCAGGTTTTCTGATGTATTTAGCTTTTTCCTGGAAAAGAAATTCATAGAATAAGAACGATGGGATTAATATGACAATTATGATCCCTTTTATTATATTAATTAATGATAAACAAGCTGAAGAAATTTTTTTGATGGAGTTTTGTCCTCGGAGCAGGATGGCTTGATCGTGGAGCTTTCATTGTTCTTCTGAATAATATCATCAGCACAAACGTCAGGTAGAAGTTTACCTGTTCACGACCAAACCATCTAGTTCACAGAACAAAACTCTATCGAAATCATCTACCTGAGCTATAAATCTTCTCCATCATCTCAAAAACTGAAGGAATATATTATTCACTAATAGTTAGTGTTGAACAATCTAATCTCTAATTAAATTACTAATTTCCTAATAAAACTGTCATTTTTACTGATTCATTTTATTTGATTGTCAGTTGCAGAAAAAAGACTAATCGCAATGATTTTTCCCATCAAACAAGTAAGTAAACGCTGAACAGTAATCTGATAATCAACATCTCAAACAAACATTTTAACTGATATTTATTAAAATTCGTAACAATGTGGATTTTCTCGTCGTTCACACTCAGGGCTGATTCTTTGATTTATATGCATGGTATATGGGCCCCCAATCGCCCTGTTACAGCCAAGGGTGGGGAAGGTCCACATGGCCACGTGTATACAACCACTACCAGGGAAGTCCTACCCAATGCCTTCTCGCGGCATTACTGTTGTTTACGAAATCGAGAGGACGAAATGCGAATGTCCGGCGCTTTAAACGGGTTAGTGGGCACGGAGTGTTCACCTAATGGAGTTAGAAAACCTTGATTCCAAACCAATTGTGTATATCGACCCCAGGATCCTGAGGTAAGAAATGGCGTATGAACCAATTACTGGTCACCGGCTACCATGAGACTGCATCTCCTTACGTCGCTCCACTGCCTTGTGGACCAGACTTTAATGGCCTGCGATGTGACACCAGTGAGATTTTATGAATGATTGTTATTGAGATATACATATCGTCAATCCTCGTATATAATCGACTTAAATCGCGTTAGTCAATAACGAAAATAAATAAGTCGAATACGTGGATTAATTTCGAATACGTATATTTCATACAATCTTTGATCCAGACAAAATATCGGTGAAGCGAAGCGAAACGATGCGCAGTGAAGAAGGCATATGAGACAACTCCATTTAGTCAAGCGTTAATCAATATTTATAGTCACACAAAATAGGCTACAGACATTTGATGCATAGGATAAGAAGTTTACACATACGGTCATATGAAAACAGTCAATGTTGTTAAGCAAACAATTAACAAGATCAAAATGTGACTCAAGAAGGATGAATAGATTGGCTTGTCCGAAATCTAGAATAAAATATATGGGCTTAACACAATAACCGACACTACAAGACCATTAGGTTGAAGGTTCCGAGTGTGGAGGCCTAAGAAAACCACCTGCTTCGGTCTGGGCACTCAGGCAGTATCACAGTCTACACTCAAATCAAGTGATTTGTGTGGCACATATGTATTCGGCACCCCTTTGTACCAATATTTATGTGTTCAACTAAAGTAATAAGTAAATATAAGCATATGGGCACTTTGAGAGAATTAATTGATTTTACCTGTAATTAAAAGTCTATGATGTTTTTTACACAGTAGGATTCAGGACACATGTTTTGTATTGTTTAAGACCCGTTAGCTGAATGTTTTTTAATTCCAGACTGACATTCCAACCCGCTGTTGATATTCAGAACCGAACTTGACCATCTTTGCTTGTATAAATGGGTCATAAAACAGCTTTGATCTGTTAAGCAACTATTTAGCAAAATTGTAGTCTACCGAGTGTATCAACCACTTCACTTACCTTGGAAGTCTCATCAGTGTTGGAACGTTGGTGTCTGACAAAATCTTAGCACGGATTCAGAAAGCTCTCTCGGCCTTGGCCTACTTATGCCACTTGTGCTGAAAGAGAGTTGTCCGTTCATTAATCAAACGGGGAGTATTCGGCACGACAGTCCACCATCTATAACTCTGGTTGTGTAAATCACCTATAAAGGTAAAGGACTTGCGTATATTGCAGGATGATCATAAATATCTTCGATGCATGTCTCACCTACTGTGCAACGAACGAATGGGGATTGTCGAGGCTAAGCGTAAGATATAAGGTGAAAATAACAAATCCTCTGGTGAGGTAGTAAACCTTCATCAATTGGGGTGGTTAGAATATACATCACATTTCTCCAATTGCCGTTTGCCTTGACGTGTGGTGTATAGTCTTCCTTTTATCATTGCTTCTACATCATTTCGGTCTTATTTTTTAGCCTTTATCTCATCGTGAGAATCAGGAATGGAAGCATAATAAGCCCATTACATTTTTTAGTACCCACCCGCTGTAATTTTGACAATTAACCCACTATGTAAACGTACGTGTGAGTCTGAGTAAACGAATGTCTGCACCGCAATCTCTATCTACTTTTCTATTGGTTGTAAACACAGACAATCAATAAATTACCCGCAATTGATTAACTTCATAAAATATATGTAGATATTTCGACTTGTAGCTTACACACTCACTTCCCAGTGTGCTTTTCCTCTTGCGTGCTCGCGGATTCTTTTATTTATTAACAATACACTCTTCCAATAACTGGTGTTATAGCTTTTGAATAAACTCATAGCACTACTTGAAAAATTGGCCTGCCTAAATACTCAGTTAACGAGATTTCATCTGTTGGAGTCAAATGGGGAGGAATTAACCTATACGGGAGCTTCTGTAAACGTACATTTATGCTAAGGCTTTAGATTGATTGGACTATAGAATCGCACTACAGAATAAACTGATGATTTGCACGGGTATTTACTTTGCAATTCAGATTGAAAGTTCATTTAATCATCTATGATTCATAATGATTTGTTAACAATTACAGTGATAGTTAAAGAAGTTGTGAAATACTTATACAACAGACATATATAATCACTATTGAGCCTGGTACAAATGTGCAAGCACAAGTTGTCACACCTGATTAACAAAACGAAATGAGAGTAACAAAAGATATCGGGATGATTTAGTAGCAATGATAAAAAGAAACACTATGGTTTAGGAAGACAGAGTGAAAAGTTAGGTATGAAGGGATACTGGCGTTCAAGATCGAGGGGGCGATAGAGAGTGAATGTATTTAGGTTACTGACCGATTTTTACTCATCACCCAAAATCTCCAACCACTGATCGTGTTTATCATCTGGACCGTAACCAAGAAGTCTGTACCTGTCAAAATTAACTCAGGCTGACAGTCAACGACTTCATGAACTCATACGACGCTTTGGTTTACCCTTCTCTAATTTTCCTTAGTCTAATTTTGCGCTAACTAAGCGTCGCTCCTTGAGATAGGCAGCGTTTAGGTATTCGTAAAATATGTCAATAAAGATTTACAACCTCATTAACCGATCTGATACCTATGTCAAGTAGCCTACAGCTAGCTTCAACATGTTATTCAGTCGTTCCGAGAAAAATATTTGGAAGTCAACTGGAAAAAATTATCGATCGGGATGATTATTTTCTCGGCATGCGATATTATTATAGGCAAAAATGTATACTTAAACTCGTATTTCTACATAACTGGCAGATAGACTTACTCTTTCTTGATAACGACGTTCATAATAATCTAATTCTGATTCTCCTGGACGACGCATCTGTGACTCAACTTCATGACGTTCACGTTCAGCGCCTATAATTTAATAATGCAAAATGACTATATTACTAGTACTTAAAATGATAAAACCTTTAAAATAATCATCATCAACCTTTTATTGCGTGTATCATTGCAAAATACCATTTAATACGAGTTTTCTCAACTAAGCGATAACAGAATACAGTTGGCGACCAACATACATGTTCGATGTTTACTGTACTCCAATAAGTGATAGTTATAAGCTACCGAGAAGAAATCTTGGACTCAAAAATAATTTGTTGGTTGAAACTCATCAACAAAGAATACAGATTGAATAGCTAAGTATCAGCATACCCATGCTTGTGGCAATGATTGGTAGTAGTTCGAATTTCATGGAAGGCATCAGTCCCATCAAGATTATAAACACATCTTGTTAATGTATACCAATCACAGGTTGAAATCATGAGTCAATTGAAGCTAGACCACCATGGAAAACCTGGAAGCACTGTGAAATTTCTAAAAAATCTCCACAAAGCCCATTCTGATAATAATCATCTGCTCACTAGTGACTGACTTCAGGAGATACTCCTGGAGCTCTAGTGAGAGGCCTTTACCAGTGGAGTTCAACCAGGTCTGTTGTGAGATATCAGCTCACTGAAGACAATGGTGTACGGTGGCGCAACTTCGTAAATTGGTTGAAGTTAGACAGTGGTCTAGTTTGTTAAGCTCCTGGCGCGAGACTGATAGGCCCTGGGTTCGAATCCTCTTTCCAAATTTATTTCACTGGATTATACTCCTTGAATAATATCTCCAAACCCTAATCTTCCCGATTACTGCTTATACTCTTATTACCTCTACCACTACGGGATTTGAATCGACAACTGCATCTCTGTGTGTGGCAACTCGAACTGATGTACGTACGTACGAAGTTCTACGTTGTTACTGACTGAGGGGGCGGGATCGTAGGTGCGCACTGCTGAGGAGCCCCATACTAGGACGAAACGGCCGTCTAGTGCTTCCCGGTTTTCCATGGTGGTCTAGCTTCAATTGACTCATGATTCCAACCTGTGAAATTTCTAAAAATTTCCACAAAACCCATTCTGGTATACCAATCAGGACAAAAGCTATATCTATAATATCCTATCGATTGCCTTCACCTACCTAAGCCCTAAGAAAAGTGCATTACAGTGTTACACCACTTAGGCTAGATAACACATTACAACTTCATGGATGAAATTTTTATTGGGATTGAGGATTGAATAATATACTGTTGATTATTATTCAATGATTAGTCAGTGCATACTCCGAAATACTAATATCGTTTTTCATTATTCATTGCCTAGTTTTCAACGTTTATTTTTATTGTACTTTTCTGTAATACATATTTTACTCACAAACACAAAACTTAAAAGGATGATTGTGTTCTAAGATCGGAATTCCTAATAATCATTAAGGTTCTTAAAATCATCAGTTCAAAATGGAGATTTTGCAGGCCGGTATTCCTATAGAACATTGTATTTGGTTCTCACTCAATAATTTAAAATCAATGATAGTCACACGTCATTATGCTTGTTTGTTCGAAAATAATTGGCTTTAACTCTAAAATAACTAAACATATATCCTCTTGTTTGTTTACTACATGTCATTGTTTAGAGTACAGCCGTCCTCTAAATATAACTCATTCGATAAATCGATTTTAAAAAAGTGGCTTGGTTAGGGTCATGACAAGAACCTGAATATTGCTGATCAAAACGGTATTGGATTTCATAGTCAATTTGGTCGAATAATCCAATTGGTTTGATGTGAGTGAATAAAATATACTTTATCTTGAAAAAAAACACAACTAAATTACCGTTCGTATCATTAACTGCCAACTTATAATTAAAAACTCCTTGTGCATGACTACGGAGAAATGGATTATCTACAGATGTAATTGACTTATTCATTTCTTCCTCTGATAATAATTTGCCTGTACCGCTTGTATCCATACGTGTTATACCAGGTGCAAGTGAACTAAATCCAGTTAGTCCACCCATAGCTTGATATGGTGAAGTCTGACCTATTGGTTTACCTCTACTATGACGTTCTTCGACAGTTTCCATCTGGTTGTAAAAAGTAAGACATAAGGAAATATTTTACACGGTTAATTAAACTATTGGGAATTATTTGAAATATTAGATCTAAATGTACATTTGCTTATCAGTTCAATAAATATGCGAACTGAGGTCATACAAACCTCATTTTACGGAATTTAGGATATATATATATGCATGTACTTACCTATCCAGTGCTTAAAGAAGTTTTCTGAATGTCGTCCGCTATTTTTGTGCATGTTAGAATTCACGTGCAAAACATATTTAAAACTTCAATGATACTTATATCTTACAGATCTGGATGTGTCTCTTGGGACTGTACTAGAGACAGATTGAGTTCTTAAGATCGTTGAGCATTTTTGGTTGTTCTTTATCTTGCATTAGACTGATATTAAAGCAAAGTGTTTGAATGGAAAGTGATCATTGAAAGTATAAGAGTATTCAAGAGTCTTGTATAATATCGATTACTACCTCAACATACAACAAGGAGATGCTCTTTATGTAATGACAGCGCTCAACAGAATGATATCACTTGTATCAAAGTTAGTTTTAAATTAGGGATTGTTACATTTCAGCGTACAGTATTTTTGTGTATGGATGACTGAAGTTAGTGATGTAGAACTTGTGAACTGCAAATGGTAATGACAACTGCACAGGTATAACAAAATACCATACTCATCATCGTTTTCTTGAGAGCCGTTTGGAATTACTGGATTCTTCAATAGTTAGGCCTATTAAATGTTCAGTATTTTATTTACTAGAGCACCAAATTTGAGAGCATTTAACGTTAACCATTATATCCATAATCCTGATGAAGCTTTGATGATCTATATCTATTTCATAAACGAATCAAAAGCGATAAGGATCAAAATTTTCCAACTAATCTGATGTGTCAGTAAATTATTTGTTCACTTCCCCATAACGCTTAACTCTAACTGAATCGGTATAAATTCAACACACCTTCATTGTTATTATCGGTCACAAATGAAGTTGAAATTCTTGTCTTATTTATAGGTGTCAAAATAGAAACGCTAAGTAATACTAAACTGGATTAAAATTCAAACTCACAATCATTTCATGTTTATGTAACTCGATACCACAGTCACATCGCATACTTGTTCTGAAACCATTACAATTGCAATTGGATTTTGAACAAAAATAAGGTGTTACCTAAAATTAAATAGAAAATAACTCTACACAATATTCTGAAAGAGTAGCTTAACTGAACCATAAAATGATCTTAAAACAATTAATACTTATTTTAAGATTCATATTTAGCTCACTTTATGCTAAAATTAGATCTTTAGACCCAGTAAGAAGCTATCAGTGAAAATACAAGAGGAAATCCTAAAACTTCCGAAATTGTTCTCAATATCTCGGTATTGGATCCGAAAATGTGACCTTGAGGATATAGAAGCTGAAATTGTCGTGTATGAAAGGAAATTCAAATAGATGATAACTAAGTGCATGCATTAGTTTTTACAGACAATCAAGATCTAGCTTCAATTGACTCATGATTTCAACCGGTGAAATCAAGATCTATAATCTTAACTTTCTATCTTACGTTTGAGTCTCATTTCAATCCACTCTAAGTGGCCATATAGTATTTTCGATACACATAGAAGACAAGTTTGGCTAGATAATTACGAATTTGCATACGTTTAAAAAGTACAATTTAAAATTTTATTGTTTACGATATTCTATAGTGTGCTACATATAGATCCTCCATAGATTTATATGTTTGAAGATAGTTTTTTAGATAACTCTAGCAATTTTTGACGTTTGATTCTGTTTTATTAATATAATACAGGGATCAACTACAAACTGACAAAATTAAAATCAACTATCATAAAAGCGTAACAAAATAGTGAAGTTTATGGGGTTTTGTTTTCTGAGCTGGATGATTTGGTCGTGGGGCTTTCATCGTTTTTCTGAACGACATCATCAGCACAAAGTTCGGGTAGAAGTGAAGTGTTCGAATTTCTCCATATGCGTTTCACAGCTTGTTCTGTACACTTCGACGTTGATTGGTTCTTATTGACCTTAAATTTGTCATTGTTTACTTCTTTCTACCTAAAGTTTGTGCTGATGATGTCGTTCAGAAGAATGACGAAAGCTCCACGACCAAACCATCCAGCTCAGAGAACAGGACTCCATCAAATTCATCCATCTGAACTACAAATCGTCACCATCTCAAAATAGTGAAGTAGAAATTATTTCATTAAGTCTACTTACGTATAGAAGTGTAATGACGATTACGAAACTATTATGATTCGTTGAAATAATAAGTGGTTACAATATCTGTTATGGGTCTATGTTCCTTACACTTTTCTTTTTTGATATTATTGATGATATGGTAAATTCAACACCAAGGATAATATATTTTGCAGTCTCTATACTTGATCAGTTTCAAAAGGATACATAATTTGTATGCCTAAATAAAGACCACTTCATTATATTGTTTTTAATTGCTGAGTAATATATGAAAAATTATAACAGGTTATTATTTCGCCAGAAGCAATTTTTGGAAGGATAAATAACCTCATAAGACTAGGTAATATGTTGCTGAATACGTAAAGTAGATTATCACAGAAAATTTTAAACAGAATAATAGAAATCCTTGAAATAAGAGTTAAGTTAGTGTTGTTAGGTCAGTGGACTCGTAAATCAAATAGATGTTGATTTTAGTTACATCACTGATATCTTCGATATGGAAATAAAATATTTCTTAACAGAAACATAGCTATCATAGTTTAAATCACGAACTGATCTTAATTAGACCACCTTTGTAAGCCATAAAGCTCTGGACAACTGTTTCATTTTAGTATGGGACTCTTCAGCAGTGAGCGCCCACAATTCTGCCTCAGAGAATTGAACTGACAATCTTCAGTATCACACGCGAGCGCTTAATTTCTAGACAATTAAGCCATTGTACAACAGCAAAAGGTGGACGCAATAATCAATCATTTTTTCAATATCGACTTTCCACTACATAAATTTCCACTGTAAAACACCATTGTTTTCAGTTGATTTACGCTTATGGTTACCGTAATTATCAATAAATAGACCGGTAGAATCATATTTTGCACATTTCGGTGATAATAATCTGCCATAATAATATTCGTTAAAGCTTCAATAAACAATAATTGATCACTTTTTGATCAAGGCCTATCTCTATGTGATAAATGTATTCAAATTAAAGATTGATATAATTCTGGTTAACATTAGTGAAACACTAAACATCATTTCAAATAACATCATCAGTTTTTAAAATAACCCTGTATAACGAGAAAGAATGCATTTGTAGAGTCTCAGCGAATGAATTTTACAAATACATTCTTTCTCTTTAATGTCTTACATTAACTCGGCGCCCAAATACTGTGGAATTATTCGATCGAATTTAGACGAACGTTCTTATTTATTAACCCTGCATAACTTTTAATCAAAACGTTTGTACTATTTGTTTACACACAAATACCACACACGGGATGCTTATATTATTTAAAATATATATATATATATATCATTAAGCTCTTAAAAGAGTTACTCAGTATTTACAATATTTTATCCTGCTTATATAGAAACAACGCATCAATTAATCATTTTTGCTTAGGAAATGAGATCGTCCCTTTTGTAAACATAATGTCAGACACAAAAACATTTGTACTCTTAAGCCATTTTTTCTATATTTTGTGCTCGCAAATAACGAGGAATGCCCTAATGGTCTGCAGATTCTCTGGAAAGATGTTTAGAACTATTTATTGCTAGCTTACTATTTATAACTAATAAAAGTATGTAAAACTGACCACACTGTGATCGGTCGCATAATGTTTACAATGACATCGTGCAATTTGGCTCCCGAATTTCGGCATCACATGAAAACTCAAACATCTGCAATGTTTACATGGTAACTGTATAGGACGTTCTGTAGGTATTGTCTCGAAATCTGTCTTATGTTGTATAAGCCTAGCAAAAAAGGGAGAAGAAGAATGGATACAAAGTTCACGACATAAACTGGGTCAAACTGTATGCATTTATGATACGACCCGTAGTTCACAAAACAAATGTAGAGAAAAACAAGTAACCCAGTGGTGTGCGTTTTAAAAAGAGCAGTGATCTCGTACTTTTTGCAAACTAACTTTGCTTTTGTGTATTTATTGCATCCAAAGCATACTTGGTTGACTTTAACTTGAATGATCGCGGTTGGGGTTTGAAATTGTTTTCAAATCCGTTTTGTATTACTCTTTCTTAGATGATTCTCACGCTAGTAATTAGCTTACGTGTTTCTGTCAATTCTCCCCCATAAATCTGTTTACAATCGTTGACTATACTTATAAGTATGGAAAGCTGAATTGTTTCGTCCTTGCAAATGAAGGAATGCAATATGGTGAGTGTAGTAAGTGGTTCTACATGTAAAACCCTCGAGGCCTAACTACCATTCATTCTGTATGTTTTGCTGTTCGAGTAAGACATCACTGATCCAGGAGGCGATGAGCCTTCTGGCTCAGGACACCAAGAAAGCTTCTGGTGGCTGCACTGATATCATTAGTACTGATAGCAAAGAAATTTTCAGTGTATTCTGTGCTCTTACTGGACAAACCAAAAGCCCGGATGAAGAACATGAGAAAGCCAAGTCTCTTTAGAAACAAACAAAGGATGAAATACCACTGGATATTGTTGGTCACCATTCCACAGTAGTACCTAAGAATTCAGATAAAACCGTCACCGTCCCAAGTAGTTTTGATGTGGCTGTCTTGAGTGATGCGGAGCGGAAGATAGTGCAGAAGCTTAGAACAGAAAGAAAATAGTTACAAACAAAGCCCGTTTGAATGACAAGTCTTTGGTAGACTCAATCTGGGTCATAGAAGACACTGCAGAAGTCCCAAAGTAAGACTGAACTTAATCCTAGCGTGGCTGGAGAAAGCCTAGTCTCATCAAATATTATTGTAGGTAATTTTTGAGAAGCAAACGACCCTGATTTAAAAACTAGACACGCGTATGATTTGGAAAAGGTCTGAGCATTTATTCATAGCATCTTACCGGATAACACCGCAGATGATATAAAAAAAACTGATAATTGGCAAGAGGACCGACAAAATGTTGAAACCTGATCATATAGACTCCTTAAGGTAATCTTGGGGTTGAGAAAACAACGAAATCTTTTGTTAACTAGTACTCAAAGTCACGATAACACCTAAGTTCAGGTAAGATTTGACATGTCTCTATGAGATAGAGTAAAAATAAAGGTGGCACTGTCTGAACTAGAAACGCGTAGACAAAATGGCGAAAAGATCTCCGCCTAATGTGTTTTTGAGTATTCAGGTCTTGTAAGCGAATTCTTTTAAATTTTGTGTGGATAGATCGTTAGTTTTAGGAGCTTCATATGAAGATTCTCATGGTCTAAGAAGTCGAGTCCATGAACTAGGAGTATTAGTGGACAAATTAAAGACACTCATTGTAGCTGTAACCGAAACTTAGTTAGTCCATAACTTTGACGTCACTTCAGAATTGTCAGGAAACAACTACCTAAGAAGTGACAGGAATAGATACAGGAAAATGGTGGGATTCTTATATACAGAGCTAATCATATAAACATTTGTTCGTTCGTCTGTGAATTACATGATAGTGGGACTTGTGAAGTTACTAGCTCTGAACTCACTCTTGAAGGTTGTACATTTATATTTGGTGTAATATACCGTAGCTCAATCTGCTTAGTTGATGACTTTATTTCATAGCACATTCAGTTATAGAGTAGAATAACGGATGCCTGATATTACATTTTAGTGCACCCGATATTAGTTGGACAGAGATTGCTACTGTAGGATTTGAAAACTCTTTTGGTAGTAGGCTCCTGATGACGGTAATGGAGCATGCTTTAGTATAGCACGTATCGAAATCCACACAGTTTGGTCCAAACCAAGAATCTCCTTTTTTAGACTTAGTAATCACTTATGCGACTGAGGATCTTACCTATTTTAATATTCCATTATCACTAGCTAATAACAATCATGCTGTTTTATCATTTATATTTGGGGCTTGTAACAGGAGATGAATGAATTAGACCCCACCCAAATCTGTGGGGATCAAACAATAATAGCTGTACAAGAATGTGCTACAACGACAGAGTGGTCAATAAATACTAGCTCATCAATTGAAGAAGCATGGTCTTTATTCAAAGGTACACTTAGCTTAGTTCCGTTTCCATTTATACTGTGCTTAGTATCACGTAGACCACATAACTTTCCATCATGGATAAATAAAAAGATCAAGAAACTTCTTAGAAGTAGGGCAAAGCAGTGGAATATATTTATCTCTACATGCTCTGAACATTACAGATCCACATATTGTAAGACTGGGAAAGTGTGCAAAGAGTTGATAAGTAAAACTAGATTCTCACATGAAAAACAATGGGTTAGGGATTGTGAAAGTGGTCTGAAAAGGTTGTTCTCGTATATAAAGAGGTTAGCTCAGAGGACTGATAAGTTTCTACCACTTCCAATACTACAAAGTCCGTTGATTTTGGTGAGAAATAATGTTGCAAATACTGAATATTTATCAGAATGTTTTAGTAAAGTTTTCTACAGACGACGACGAAAGATCAACAGTTAATTATAATAATGGAGGCATGTCAACGAATCCTCTGCTTATTAAAAAAGGAACTGTCTTAAGACTACTTCATATCTCAAACCAGATAAGTCCTGATGATATTCATCCGAGGATTGTGAAAGCTCTGGAGACTGTAATTGCTGAACCTCTTGCAATACTGTTTGATATGTCTTTGAGGCATTGTAAACTGCCAAGGGACTAGAAAGATACAATAATCAGTTCAGTGTATAAGGCTTGGAGCAAGAACCTAGTAGGTAACTATCGATCCATTAGTCTAACCAGTCTATTTGTAAAACTAGTGGAAAGAATTGTTTGGATGGCCATTTCAAACTATGTGGAGGGACATGATATTCTATCCAGGGAACAACACGGTTTTAGGAGAGGCCTGTCATAGTTGACAAATCTGCTTGTTAAAAGAGAAGATTGAGTTGCATCAAAAGGTAGTAATATTCCAGTAGATGTAATTCCCATGGATCCAAGTAAAGCTTTTAACAAGGTCTGTAATCTGGGTCTTAAATTAAAACTACGGTTTAGGATTTCTTACGAAATCATAAACTGAATAAATAACTTTCTTAGTGATAGGAAACGGCGAGTAAGGGCAAGTGGAGCTCTCTCAACATGTGAATCTGTGAGAAGTGGAGCTGTCCAAGGTAAAATTTTCGGCCCTCTTATTTTTCTACTTTATGTAAATTTCTTACCAATTATAGCAAATTCACCTGTTCTACTCTTTGACTATGACGTAAAGATTTGTAGACCTACAAACAGTTTGTTAGATAGAATATTACGAGATGATTTAAATTCATTGGCTGCATGAATGGACAGGCAGTCATTAGAAGTAAATTTTAACAAGTCTAGTGATGCGAATAAATAATTGTGACGATTTGTCTCACTACACAATATGAGGATTAGTGTTGCCTAAAGTAGTGGACTATAAAGATTTAGGAATCATAAGAAGCCACGAACTTAGAACGGAAAGTAACTGAAAGACTATCGTTGTCAAAAGCCTCAGGATCTTAAGGGCTATTCATAGGTCATTTGATTACTTGGACGAAGAAATGTTTAGGGTATTATACCTAATTTTCGTGAGGCTGCTTGTGGAATATGAGATTGAAGAGTGAGGCGAATATGCTAAAATGTGTTCAACAACGAAGGACCGAAATGGTGAAAGATCTCGTTAACCTATCTTGTGAAGGAAAACTGAAACGCTTTGGCTTTTTTCCGTTATCTTACCACAGACTACGTGTTGATCTAATATTGGCTTATCGTATACTGAACGAAGACCTTGGCACTACTGTCATATCTTCTCCTTCCATCTAAGATTAATCATTTGCGAAGACATTCTACGAATGTTCAAGAAAACCGATATAAAATACTTTACTTCTAAAGTCCGTCTCTCGCACCAAGTAGTGGATTACTGGAATTATCTACCAGAATACGTAATATACATTCAAAAAGAGACTGGAACTACACAGTGTTACAAACTTCAAGGACTGATATGGGCCAGTTGACCTCTATCCTTACTATTGAAAATTGAAGTGTTGGATTTCGAAGAGAAGGTTGGCGGAAGTTTGACGGAAGAACTTTCCATATAATCTTCAATAGTTTCATTCGTCCCCATTTAGAGTACGGAAACATAGTATTTCCTTCCTCACTACGAAAGGATAAGGACACCCTGGAGCGTATTCAACGGCGAGCCACGAAATCAGTTCGAGGACTCAAATTTAAACCTTATGAAGAGCGCCTCCATTCACTTAACCTTTACCCATTAGAGTATAGACGTCTTAGAGGTGACCTTCTGATGGCTTACAGCATCCTTAACACTTCTGGACATCCTCTCAAACACCTAATTAAGCTTAGTTCCAACACTAACCTAAGGGGTAACACACAAAAACTGGAGACACAACTTCTACTCCTTAAGAGTTGTCAGATGCTGGAATTCGCTGCCGGCCGAGCTAGTTGAAGCGACTTCCCAGGAGTCCATTAAGAGGCAACTTGATCTATTCTTAAGGACTAAGGATAGTATCGCACTATGATTTATTAATTTCTTTTCCTGTTTTCTTGTTAACATACCTAGATTCTTGCCTGGAGAACTTGGTGATCCCCTGCTACTAGACACGGAAGCCTGTTAAAAGAAAGCTTCTTCTATTCCGTCCACAACCATTTGAATTTGGCTGATCTGGTATTCAGTCGTCCCGCCTACTAAAACTTAGCAGTGGAGTTTATGAAGTGAAAATGAGAGCTGTGAGGCTTTATCTAACAGAAACAGTGAATGCAATTGTAATAAAATAAAAACAAGCAGGTTAAACCAAACCTGTTTAAAAGTTTTATGATACTTTACCGGTGTTGGCAGAAACATTCACTTTGTGGACCGGAAAGTATGCAATCCACTCCATTTGGATTTGTCCAAGACACAAAAATTCTGTTTTGACTTCTCTTAGCTCAATATAATTAATTAGTTTTGCATACCAATGGTAAGTATTTGTTCTTGTAAGCTTCATATTGCTTGGGTGTGAAAAGTTTTCCATTGTCATCATCGCCCACAATTCTGCTGTAGATTATAAATGACATCTTATGGTAAGCTACCGTCTATACTCTTCGTATTCATCAATAGATTTAAGATCTTTGCTACTAATTTTAATGGAACTTCCTCCAAAATTCATGTTTGTCTCATATTATCATCATAACAACTAATATTGTTTGGCCGATAAAAACAAATCTGTGAAACTATGTCTATGTGGTGTATTAACATAATTGTTTGATTCATTGATTTTATTATATTGGTATCACAAAACTGAAAGTGATCTCCAGAGGCGTTTGCTCAGATTAGTCCAATGGTTCTGAACAGAGTAGAGGAAGCTTTCACTGACGGGCGTCCTTATTTAAGAGCGGTAGGTCGACGATGCCACCAAGAAGGAACCTATATATATTTAACGATAAAATAAAGGAAACATTGGTGAAATATAGTGAGGTGCTGTCCTTAGTCCTTAAGAGTATATAACATGATCAAGAGAGTCATGATTGAGAGGTTGTCAATTAGAAATTCTATGTTTGTAAGTATGCAGTCTAAGTATTATGGCGTCTGGCTATTTCTCCATCGAGCTGCTAACTTCACGGCAGTCGACCGCAGTCTTACGATCTTGACTCACTCTCACTCCAAGATCCTTGTCAGACCGGGCCACGGACACAGGCATTTCCCCTATGCTGTACCATTTGACTTTGTATCCTCAACGTGCAAGTAGGTACACTTCGCCGTAATTGGGTTGGAATCCAATGCTGTGTTCTTGTTGTGTAATCTATGTCCGAACAGTTATTCCGGCTACTTGATTACAAATTGGGTCTTTGATATTCAGCACCCACTCTCAACTTGATTTGGACACTAATTGGGGTTTCTTATTGCACACAACTTTATGTGCCACAAAATTGTCTGTTCCGCCAATGGTGTCCAAACCTTACTAGCAAATCACAGTCATAAAGAATCGCTCTCTTCTACAGCTAAGACGTGAAAACCACTACTATGCATAGTGCAAACGAACTAATGACAGCATATATGGGTAATTGAGACCAGTAAGGAACCAATGCATAAAGCCAATCACAGAAGACAGGCTTTAGTATCAGACAAGCCTGATCGATAAACGTCTCTCATTCGAAGAGCAAATCACATCACGTAGCTTCTCTTCGACAAGCCAAAACCAGATTTTCTCAATTGCTATATCCTAGTGGCCCAACCAGTGACAACGGTGACGTTGCCGACATTCTGGCATAACAGTACTTTCGGATAATTCAACCATCCTGTACTAAGCAAATTGATGAGAACTTCACAAGAAACCCAACGGCAGTCTTAGAATTGAAGCTAAGCGCTGAACCAGTGTACCAGAAAGTGCAGCATCCAAATACGTACACTTCTGATCCGGATATGGTCCATTCTGCAATACTTAGAAAAGCGGCTTTAGTTTTGACAAAACTGCTTAGCTTGATGTTCACATATTCGCCAAGATACGGTATTAGAAAATTGTGAGCTGGTGCACATTACACAAATTTCTAAAGAAGGCCAACGTTGTGAACCTGTAGTGGCACTGTGCCTAACCACACAATCCTCATAGCTGAACACGAGACAACTGGGAAAATAGCTATTCAACATTTAACGCGAGAAAAACCCAACGATGGAGAAGGCGGAAACAATTAATTGAATTAGTTCGAGTCGATCAAATGGCGTAGCTCGGCTTTGCAGGCATGATCCTACTTATATAACAGCCTTTTGTCTATATTAAATATAATGGTCTATTTCTAGCCTCAATGTGTATTGATGATTGTGACTGTAGTGAAGAAGAACACGGGTGAGGACAGCCAAATTGTATTTAGGACAAATTACAGAATTACTTGGTAAAATAGAAAAACCATATAGTAAATCGTTAATTTGCAAAATATCATTCTATCATATCAAACCGGGCTGTTGCTGTTGCAAACATCAATCCATTGTCTCGCATTTCATTGCTCATGCAGTTTCTAACAAATTCCATTGTTTTCTCGCTCTTCTTTTCTTGATCTTCTCCGTCTTCTGCTGCCAGACATTACGTTCTTTTGACTCACGTTATATACTACTTATATCAATATAAGTAGCACGCACCACAGTGACAATAGGAATGAATCAGTGTAGGTAATGATGTGACATCCACGTAGGACTTTATAGATTAAGCAAATATATCATGACAAATCTACAATTTTAAAATTAAGTCTATTATTAGAGTAGTACTAATATCATAGTAGACCGTAATTCTACAAGGCTTCCAGCTACCTGTCAGGAGCACTTCTCTCAATACCCCCAAATATTAAAAACTTACTGGTATGCAAAGATCAGTGTGACTGCTTATTACCCAGAAACCTTTTAGTATCCAAACAACACGGTTTCAATAATGATCACTCTTGTATGACCAACATGCTGACCACGGTGGACAGATGGACAACCATTCTAGATAGCAAGAGGAAGGTTGATGTCGTACACCTTGATTTCTCCAAAGCTTTTGATAAGGTCAACCATATATGTCTTTTCAATAAGCTCAAACGGTTAGGTATCAAGTCACTGCTAATAAACTGGCTTACTTCATATCTAAGTGATCAACATTTTAGGGTCAAGGTAGACTTCGCTCTTCCTCAGACAATGTCCTTGTGTGTTCCATCAGGGTCGGGTACTGGAACCCTTTCTCTTTTCAACTTGAGTGACCTTCCTCAGAAACTATCGCTCAATGTGAAACTGGAGAGGAGTATGTAACCATGATCATCATGAGGATCTGACTCGGTGGATGAGAGTGAACGAATTTTAAACACTTTAAAATAATCGGGTTGAAATCCAGTTCTTTGTTCTTTTTGTGTAATTTCTGTACGAGAACAGTTATTCCGGCTACGTGATTACAGATTAAGTCTTTGATATTCAGCACCTTTCCCTACTAGTGCACAGTGATAACACTGTACTTTACTTTAAGTTTAGGACACATGGCATACAATTTGTATCTGCTCCACCCCGTCCCGACATCTGGCGAGCTAATATTCCGGCAATCAGAAACTGTGCTATCTTGGCTGATTAGTCAGTCAACGCGGATGGATTGATCGAAGATGAATGAATCAAGTTTAAGGCTACATTCGAGTTCGTAACGTCGCCGTTTACCCCATGGTCAGCACGTAAGCTATCACATTGCCCTCCATGGATTAATAAGGAAACGTGGAAGCTGGTAATGCTTAGGAAACACTTCTGGGACATATTCTTGTTGACAGGTCATGCACCATTTAAGCGTGAGTACCGAAAATTCCGTAATATCTGTAAGAAAACCATTGCTAAATATTGTGCTACTTATGGACGACAGTTGGTATATGATTACCGTACTTGTCCGAAACGACTGTTTTTGTATGTTAAAAGGCGAATGAAACGTAGTGATGGTATTCCCCCGTTATTGTTACACGAAAATTCAGATTTACTAGCTGAATCAGTTGAAACTTTTTCAAACCATTTTAGCGAAGTCTACTCTACGTGTATTGTTAAAATTACTCGCCCCAATCACACCGAGATACCAACCATTGAATCTGTACAGGTGACTGAGGAAACTGTCCTTTCGTTGACAACTAACCTCAAACCTTGTAAGATACCGGTTACATCCACGGTTGTTGTCATCTCTTGCGGACATTATTTCAAAACCGCTCGCGACACTCTTCAACATGTCCCTTTCACTCGTTCAACTTCCTACAGATTGGAAAGACGCTATAGTCGGTCCTATATTTAAGGATGGTCAGAGACAGATCGTATCTAACTACCGGCCTGAAAGTTTAACTAGCATTGTCGTTAAGTTGCTTGAAAAGATCATTTGGGTTAGGTTGCTAAGCCATATAGATTCACACAATCTGTTAGCTCCTGAGCAACACGGATTTCGTAACAAGCGTTCATGCTTGACTAACTTGCTTATTGCAAGGGAGGATCGGACAGCAGCCTTAGATAACGGTCTGTCTGTCGATGTGATATTCATAGATTTTAGCAAAGCATTTGACAAGGTTTCACACTTAGGTCTTATGCAGAAGCTCACGAGCTTCGGAATAATAGGTACTGTACATGAGTGGATAGGAAATTTCTTATGTGACCGCAGACAGAGAGTTAGGGTCAATGGAACGCTATCCGATTGGAAGCCGGTCGAAAGTGGTGTACCCCAAGGCACCATCTTAGGCCCCCTGCTCTTCCTTCCTACGTTAATGAGTTACCGCTGTTGCTTAGGTCGTCGACATTATTGTTTGCGGATGATGTAAAAATCTGGAGAACAATAAAAAGTGCGGTTGATCATCTGGATCATCAAGCTGACTTAGATGATTTAGTTAGATGGGCTCGAGGTTGGGGCTTAGAAATCAATCCTAGGAAGAGTGTACTAATGCACATCGGTCATGGTAATAGTTACCATTATACTATTGAGGGTAAAGCTCTTCCATGCGTTCAAGAGCGTAAAGACTTAGGAGTAGTAATAAGTCACGACTTAAGAACAACTACGCATTGCAGCACAGATGCTATCAAAGGTTTACGTGCGTTATGTTCGCTTTGACGAGGAAACGTTTAAAATTTTATATCCCACCTATGTAAGACCACATTAAAAGTACTGTTTCCAAGCAATTAACCCATGTCTAGTAAAAGATACTAACTCATTTGAGCGTGCTCAGAGTATGTGAACGAAGGGTCTTTCTAAACTCTCTTACGATGAGTGTTTAAAACGCCTTAACCTTTTCCCCTAGTCGTATCGTAGGACGCGAGGTGACCTTATACTGGCATTTCGTATCCATAATTATTTGTCTGAAACAGAGACAGGGGGTTTTATAGGTCATATCTGATGGGATCGTTAATGCTGTGGCACAAAGCTAAGGTGATTGTGATCTGTAACAATTTGAAATCAGATCATGCTAATGATCCTACTTCTACGTCCATCTAGTTTATATACGTAATATCAGCCAGTTCTGTTGATCCATTAAAAACGAGAATGGACCTCCACAGTGTTACAAATTGCAAGAATTATTATCGGTCGGATAACCTCAATCCTTGCTATTGTAGACTAGCTGACCGGCAAGTACAACCACTGCGGTACGGGGCTTGCACGTTGCGATGTTGTTGTCATCACGAACGGGTGATGAGTATGATTTCGACTCTTCAGATG